GCCGACGCTAGCAGCGCCGAGGAGGAGGAGGAGGAGGAGGAGGAGGAGAAGGAGGAGGAGGAGGAGGAGGAGGAGGAGGAGGGGGCTAGCCGGACGCGCCGCGGACGGCAGCTACGGGCGACGGCGGCAGGCAAGAAGGCGGCTGCAGCGGCGGCGGCTGGGCTCGCGGCAGGCGGCTGGCGGCGCCGGCCCGGGCCCGTATGGAGGCGCGACACCGGGCAGCGGCGGGCCGGCTTAGGGGGAAGTTCGGGGTTCGCCTGGCTTTGGCCGTAATGCCCCCGCTCCTTAGGGGCGTGCCCCCGCCCCACACTCACCGTGGGCGCGCGGAGGGTGCACTGACATTTGCATTGCGGCACTGAGAACGAGAGGGGGGATCAATAAGAAACGATACAACCGATGGAATCTAATATATGCGGCGCATTATAGATATGTGTATATATATATATATATGTATATATATATATATAGATTGTGCAATGTATGCGATGCAGCGTGTGTGATGTAATCAACCCGGTGCAACCTATGTGGGGCAAGGAATTCGTTGCAACCTATGTAATACAATGTATGCTATGTAGTATTTGTGGTTTTTTGTGGGCGATGAAGTCTGTGCGGTGCAATCTATGTGGTGCAATCCACTCTGCTGAACTTGAAGTAGTCATCTCCACTGCTCGTGCAAACATCCCACCCACCCACCCGCGACTTGGTTTGCAAAACCTCTGAAGACCGACTACGACGACACCGACGACAACGACTACGACGACACCGACGACGTCTCCGACGACTTCGACGACGACAACGACGCCGACGCCGACGACGACGACGACGACGACGACGCCAACGAAGGCGACGACGAGGGAGGAGGAAGGACGACCACGGCGACGACAACGACGACAACGACGAGGGAGGAGGGAGGACGGCGACGACGCGAACGACGAAGAAGGAGGAAGGACGGCGACGCCGACGACGACAACGACGAGGGAGGAGGGAAGCGACGATGACAACGACGACGACGACGACGGCGACGAAATAGGAGGGACGACGACGAGACGCCGACGACGGACGACGACGACGACGAGGGAGGAGGAAGGACGACCACGGCGACAACGACGACGGAAACGACCACGACGCCAAAAAGGACGATGACGACGAACACGAGGAAAAACGGAGGACGACGTAGGCGACGACGACGACGACGACGCGGGAGGAAGGACGACGGCGACGACGACGACGACGCAAGAGCGCGCGCGCACGCTTTTGTTGAAAATCCGTGTTGCGAAACCTTGGGTTTTGTAGGTTTTTCGGACACACGATTTTGAAATCCTTCCGAAACCGATGGGTTTTGAAAGATTTCGGCATACGCGCGCGACGACGCGCGCGTCTGCATTTCGTGCCGTTTTTTGAAGAGGATTCTCGCGACGGCACACGCGCAAGGGTGTTCGACTGATATCGATATGCGCGCGCGCGAAACCCGTTTGGTAGCATGTTGTGAAAAGTTTGAACAACCTATGGTTTTAAGATATCGCAAGAGCTCGCGCGGAAGTCTGTTTAGCACATCAGTGTTGCGAAACCCTGTGTTTTTGTATGTTTGTGTTGAGACTCGATTGCGAAATCCTTCCGGCACCGAAGATGTTTGAAGGATTTCAGCATGCGCGCGCGACGACGCACGCGTGCGCACTTCGTCCCATTTTGCAAAAGATGTGTGAAAAGTGTTACGCTAGAACAAACAATGTCACCGCATAGTGTTTTTCATATTATGACAAGGGACCCTCAGGGGGGGATACCGGCCCCCCGTTGATAGTGTAAATTCATATTTCGGATGGACATGTGGTCAGAATCGTTCATGATTTACATACCCGACAGGGGGGGGCGATAACGACGAAAAGGGAAAAACCTATTCTGTTTTTACAAAAAAATCAACGTATGGGGTGCAACATATGTAATGAAGGCAGTGCGCGGTGCAATGTATGCGATGCAACCCATGTGATGCAAGCCGCGCGGTGCAATACATGTGGTGCAATGTAAGCCACACGCGCTATGTAATACAGTCTACGCGGTGCTACGTACGGGATGCAACTGATATTGCAAACGAACTGACATATAACACGATATTGCAAACATCCCACCCACCCACCCACCCACAACTTGGTTTGCAAAGCCCATGCGATGGCGATTGCGATGATTGCTTGGCGTTGGCTGGTGCATCGGCGCGGCCGCACCAATCCAAGCACGCGCGCGCGCAGCTGCCATTTAGTTTGGCGCAACCGACGCGGCCGCGGCGGCGCTGACCGCTGGGCACGCCCCAGCGGGCGCTCCAAGGCGAGTCGGCGACTTGGGCGGCAGCAGTACCCTGGCAACGGACGACGGTAGACACGATGATGATAGTAGCGATGTTGATCACGATGTTGACAACGAAGACGACGCAGCCAGTGCGGGCGCCCATGCTGATCACGTCGACGACGATGACGGCGCGTCGGCGAGGAAGGTTTTGGAAGGAGTTCGGCATGCGCGCGCGCGAGAGTGGCCCGCATGTCATTATGCGGCACGGGTCGCGCCCCCCCCCCCCCCCCCCCCCCCAGCGCGCGCGCAAGGGGGGTGCCAATGATTTCGGCACGCGGCGCCATGGTGATATACTGTCATGAACATGTTGGCGAAGGAAGACAAAAAAACAAACAGCAACAGACAATGCTCCTAAGAATTCGCGAGAGCGCGGGCGCAAGCTTTTTTTTGAAATCTGATATTGCGAAACCGTGTGCGTTTACATTGGCACTTGGCTGTAAAACCGCCACGGGGCCCCAGGTTTTGACGGACGTCGGCGTGCGCGCGCGACGACGCGGGCGCGCGCACTCCGATTTTTTTTTTGGTTTTTTGTTGTTTCCCCTTCTCTTGCGAGCGGATTCTCGCGACGGCGCGCGCGCAAGCGGTCGGGCGATTTCGACGTGCGCGCGCGAAGCCCGCCTGGTAGCATGTTCTGACAATGATGGAAAACAACGGTTTCTCGAGAACTCGCAAAAACGCGGCGCAAGCTTCTTTTGAACATCGAGATTGCGAAGCTATGTGTTTTATGTGTTTGGAACACAAGAATTTGAAACCCGTTCGAACCCGAGATTTTTAGAGGATTTCGGCATGTGCGAATGAGAACGCGCGCGTGCGCGCGACGTCCCGTTTTTGGCAAGGGGTTCTGGAAGCCTGATGGTTTTTGATAAACGAGTGTGCGCGCGCACTATTCTGTTGCAAAAGATGGCGGGGGGGGCAGATACCGGCTGGGCTGGAACGGTATGGGCTCGTTTTTGAAGATGGGCGGTGGGGCAGGATCGGATGTAAACTGCACATCCCCAGGGGGGGCGGATAAGTCTGGCCTCGGGAGGGTGGTAAGGTCGATTCTCTTTTTAAGAAGGTGCGGAATGGCGGAGCCTCTGGATTCCTTCTTCCTTGAGCCAAATATATCAATCCACTATCTTGTCTCCATCTGTGTGAAACCCTGCAGCCCCCCTCGAGGCCGCTGCGCATGCTGGCGGGCTCGTCAGCCTCGCCAACCAAATTACACTGCACGCGTCGAAACTCATGAGTCTCGACCATGCAAAAGAAACAGCCATGGCATAAGAAACCCATCTTCAACGTAAACAGTAAGGCTTGAAAGCGTTCTCATTTTGCGCGCTACGACCTCGGGGGGTGATCAATCTCCGTCTTATATCATCTGAACAAGCCAGCTCTGCTTTACCAAAATGGTATCTCGTACTGGTCGCCCAGGGTGTGTGCGCCATATCTACCTCCAACTCCAAGCTCCCCAGTCGTGCGCTGACAATGGGGTGTAGCGACCACCAGCATATCGGTGGCCCTTGCTCCTGCTCTTGTGAGTCAGGGGTCCCTGCACCGGCACGGACCTCATCTTCTTCTTCACGCGCACCTCCGACTCGGGCGAAACGTCGCGGCCTCGCCTCCTCGACGGTGATCCCGGTGAAACTCTCGCTCCATATTGTTCTGGTCGAGACGGCGTAGCCCGTGTCTCCTCCACAACTCCCTCTTGCTTTACCTTCACCACGAACATGTAATAGCCCACGGCCACTGCAATTGTCGTAACCAGCAGGTGCGATAAACAGCTCCACCAACTGAACTCGTTCGTCATGCGCACGTTGATGTTGACGCCGTCATCGTAGTAGTAGTCCTCCGTTGCCTCTGTCACTGGGATGTTCGCCATCGCTGCCAACACCTTCACCAGCTCTCCGGGACTCTTGAAGCTCGTGGTGGTGATTGAGATCAGCCCAAGCGTCTTTATCTGCTTCCTGAGCGTCTCCTTGTCCATCGGCTTGGCCCCAATATCCGCAACCTGCTCCTTCGTGCTTACCTCCTCGACCTCCATCTCTCCGTCGCGCACCAGATCTTGATGCCATATCCACCTCGGCTGAAGATGCCTGACCCGTCCAACACCGCGTCTGTGAATCATGCCTTTCGCTGCTGCCGAATCCGTCTGCAAAACCAGGGTGATCTGAATCTGCCCGTTCCTCATCTGCGCCATCTCCTGCAGCGCGTGCTTGAAGGTGAGTCCCCTGGCTGTGCCCGAACCCATCGCATAGAACTCCGACTCTCCGCTTGATAACGCCACCGTCGCCTGAGACAGAACCCAACTTTCCAGGAAGTAAACGCCCAATCAAACTCCTCCTGGTGAGATACTCTTGCACGTCGCCTCCAGTCCTGCCCAATCGGCGTCGGTCGACACCGTCACCTTGAACGCGGCCTCTTGGTACGGATATTAAATCACGATGTCCGCCGTGCCCTGCAAGTACCTTGCCAGCCGCTTCTGCTTCAGGATGTGCTTCGCCCTCGGGTCGTTATATGAGCAACTCTGCTCTCGAACAGCTTCTTGGATATCCCATCGGTCTCCTGCCATGTACTGAGCAATGCCTCCACAGCTGCGGTGCGTCATAGCACTCGCCGCCCCGCTGGGTCTTCAGCTTCACGAGCGCCCTTCGCAGTGTGTTTTTGAACTCGGTGTCTCCGCCAACTTCGCCTGTTTTAACTCGTGCAACTCCACCATATTCAGGATCCGCCTCGGGTCGGGTAAGATGCCGAAGCCCCCCTCGGCCCACAGCAGCGCCCTGTTGAGAAACGCACCTTCCACCGCTCCGCCTGGCCCCACTCGAGGTTGCGGCTTGACCTTGAACCTGCTCGCCACCAACTCATCGAACTCACCCAGCTCCTCATCATAAGCCTCCATCGCAAAGACGTCTCCGTGTCCGGCGCATAGAGAGTGCATGTCAGGATGATAATACAAGCAACACGCTGTATTTAACTCCCCGTATCCGTGATGATTGAAGTTGCCTCGAACTTCCCCTTGAAATAACATCGATGCTTCTGGCGTCCCAGACATGGCCATCGTCAACCTCCACTGCATACCTAGCCGCCGTTGCTCTGGTGGCGGCCAGCAGCGCTGAGGCCCTTTCAGCGACGCGTGGAAGAACGCGACCAATACGTCGTAGAGCCCGAGCTTCTTCTTACGCGCGTCAGCAGACCTCAAAGAAGCTGCCCGTGATATCGCCAGCTTTACTGCCCAGAGTGCGGATGTCCCTGCGAAGTTCGCGGGGCCGGTTCCGTCACTATACCTGATGTGAACACATCTGCTCCTCACGATCCACTCGCCAGTTTGTAATTCGTACTTCTTGCTGTCGATCCACTTGGCGTCAAATGGCTTCGCCCAATCCTCGAACGGCACCCATTCGAAAACCTCGAACTCCTCCATGCTCTTCTTCTCCTTCGCCCTCCCGTTGGCGATCAGCTCCTTAAGCAACTCCTCTCCCGTGAACGCGCCCCTGTAGACTCCATCTCCAACCAACTTATCGTAGTTAACCCTTGGCTCGATATCCTTGCAGACGTGTCGGTCCTCTTCCCTCGTGATCGACGCGGGGGCGCCTATCTCCATGGGCCCCTTCCAGCCTTGGTGTCATAGGTGCTACAGATCTTCCTGCCGCGATCACGTTACCTGTCGTCTCCACGTCCATATCTTGAGCTCGACCGAAGTGGCGACCCACGGGGGTGCCTAGAGCTCGTGACCCTGCTGTCTCCAGTCGTGGTTTTTGAACTTGGGCCTCCGCGGGTGGCTGTTCTGCATGAACTGGTGCTGAATGCCCCGCAGGCTGCGCGGGTCGTGCTGGAATCGCTCTCTCTATCTTAGGTCCCGCCTCGTCGAAGATCTTCGCGAACAAAGTCCTGCGCCTCGCGTTGTGTCTCGCTGAGCTCCCCATCGCAAGCTGCGCCCCCGTCCGTGGGCCCATGCTCCTCAATCAGCGCCTGCGTGATATGCCTCTTCGCCGAACCGCCTCGTTCTGGTCCTTGACCCCCAGAAAACATGTTGTGCATGACGGGCCCCCTTATAAACATGTTGTACACCTCCTTGCTGTGCCGATCCCCCTTGGCCCTTAACTTCGCAGCCCTGGCGCGCTCGATGCCTCGCGCCGCCCCCGCGATGACCTCGTCGCTCTCGTCGCGTCTGCCCAGGAAGATACCTCCACCCCATCTCGGCCCCGGCTTGGGATAGTCCTCAGCCTGGATCTTGTTGTCGATCAGCTCGCCTATCTTCCCCGACTATGACTTGAACTTGGCGCGCCCCAGTCGCTCCCGAGCTGCCCCGCCGCCCGTCTCGATCGCGAACCTCGTGAGCAAGTAACCCACGCGTCTGACCAGCCACGGCATGATCAAACTCTTCGGCCCGATCTTCACGCCCAGGTTCGCCTCGAGCTCGCTGCGCAACGTCCGCGACAGCGACTCCGCTCTCTCGACAGCGTTCCCGATCGCCCCGTTGCTCTGATGTGACCCCTTCGGTGACTTCTCCACCTGTGCGCTGTGCTTCCTCCTGTTCTTCACCGCCGTGATCGCTGCCTGTAGCGACGCCTCCTGGTCGCCCTAAAGTACGATGTCCGCTGAGCCCCAGACGTCAATGTAAAACTCCAAGCTGAATTGACGCACTCGCTGGGCCCCTTCTGAATCGCCGCGATCGACGCTACGGAGTCCTCTGGCTTCTGAACCATAATCAAGATAGTGACCATGTCCGTCTCCGTCTCGGTGTTCACGAAGCAATAGTCCATGCGAATCACAGGCGTCGTCGGCGCCTCGTCGGGATTAGCCCTCGCGCGACCATCCCCCTTACCTCGCCCCAAAGACACCACTTACACCAGTCACGAAACGGCATATGCGTCCTCTCGTGGATGGCGATCTCCTCCGCTGCCGGCTTGTATCTCTCCTTCTTCCTCTCGGGAAGCTGCGCCTCCTCGCTCTCCAGCGGCTCGGGTGGCTCAGGTACTTGATCTTCTGCTGCTGGTAGTGGGCAAAGCGAGCGCGCGGCCACGTCGAAGCTGTAGATGCTGCGCCCCTTCGCGATCTCGAGCGACTTGTTACCCCCCTTCATTATCATATCCTTGATCTTCTTGCTCATCATGGGGCTTAGCACCACGCCTCCACCTTCATCGAACCGCGCCATGTGATCCCTTCGTCAGGTCGCTGACTGCTATGATCGCATTGTGGACATCTCGGACATCGAACTGACGTCGTATCGGTTGCTTGGTGCCAGATACTTCCATGCGTGCCGTCTTGCATCCATCGGCATAGATCTTGTTACCATTAACTTCTCGTAGTGGTGGTGCTTCTGAATCTTCACGCGGGATCCGCGGCGCAAGACCTGGTGGGCATACACTTCTCGCCGCGCATGAATCGACCATAACCTCGATATTCCCGTCGTCATCGTTGGCAAACTCGCTTGCCGGAATCAGGTCGCTCTCGTCATTCTCGTACTTGTCGTAATTGGGCCCCTTCTCTGTATCCTCATTGTGATCTAACTTCGCATTGTGATCAAGCTCCTCGTCCTCGCTCGCCTCGATCATGAAGATGTAGCCCTCCTCGGCGTCGTAGTCTGGACCTAAATAGCTGACAGCCTTGTCATTGGTCTTGGGCGTCAGCGTCTTCGTCTTATTGTTATTGTCTTTGCCCTTGCCTTTGCCTTCACTGATCCTCCAGAGCTCCTCTTTGGTGATCTTGCCATCCTTCATGTCCTGCGCTGCCTTTCTGCGCTCCTTGGGCGCGTGACCTCTCTTCAAGCAATACTTGCACTGTGGGATGCCACTCTGGTCATAGCCCTTGCCGTTGCCGCCCTTACCCTGGCTGCTCTGACTCTTGCCGGCGTTGCCCTGCTTCCCGAACGTCAGCGCGTCCAAATCCATCGGTGCAGGTCCGTTGAACGCCAGCGCCGCCTGCTTCGACCTCAAGTAGTTCAGCACCTCTGCCCTCGCAAGCGTGTGCGCGGTGAATTTCGTCGCGTTCAGCATCAGGTGCTCTCTCAGCTTCTGCGGTACCAGGCGCGTGCTGATCACTGACTTCTTGGTCGACTCCATCACCTTCTGTCCCGTTTGCTCCTCATACCTCTGCACCATGGTCTCCAAAGAAACGATGCCTTTGATCGGGTCGTGCCCCTGCATCGTCGGGTACAGGATCGCGTCCAGCATGCCTGAGAACCTCGAAGGAACCTTCGGCTCGAACTCAACACACACAACAATCTCCATGCCTCCAGTCCCTCTCCCGCCGCAACACTCTTCACAATGCTTTGCGGTTTGCCCTTGCAGGTCAGGACGGGTATGTCGTACAAGTTCGTATTCACTCTTTGCGCATCCTCGTCCAAATCTGCGTGTGCGATCGGCTCTGCATCCGCCTTCGCCGCGTCACGCATCAACTCCGCCATGTGCGGGTCCACCGCCATGCAGTAGGCTGACAAGACGAAGCTCCAGTTCTCCCATGTAACTCCGTCTCGATACTTCGCGTTCTCATCGAGCTCGCCTGAAAACTTATCTGGCTTGCCGAGCAGCTTCGTGTCCACAAGAGATTATCGAAGGGGCGATCTCTGCTGATCATCTGCTTGGGCTCCCTGTTCTGCTCCTGCTGTTCCTGTTGCAGCTCGTGCCTCCTGCAGCTGCATTTCCAGCGTCGCGATCTGCTCTCGCTGCTGAACCACAACTCCCTCCATCGCCACGACGCGAGCCAACACCTCTTGCAAGGAGGACATCGCTGCGCGAGAACGCTTGAGCCTGGCCGCGGGCGCAACCAGGCTCCGCTACCATGCGGAATGGCGGAGCCTCTGGATTCCTTCTTCCTTGAACCAAATATATAAGTCCAGTATCTTGTCTCCATCTGTGTGAAACCCTGCAAAAGGGTAATACATGCGATGCAACCTATGTACTGCAATCCATGCGGTGCGATGCATGTGGCGCAATATATGCGATGCAACCTGTGTGATGCAGCCTATGCGGTGCAATCGCTGTGGTTCAACGTATGCGATGCGATCTACGTAATGCAATCTATGCGGTGCAATGTATGCGATGCGGCGACGGCGACGGGCGGCAACGGGCGGCACGGAGTACGGAGTGGCGACGGGCGGGAATGGCGGCGACTGGCGGCGACGGCGACGGGCGGCGACGGGCACGGGCGGCGACGGGCGGGAATGGCGGCGACTGGCGGCACGGGGTGGCGACGGGCGGGGATGGCGGCGACAGGTGGGAATGGCGGCGACTGGCGGCGACGGCGGCGGGCGGCACGGGCGGCGACGGGCGGGGATGGCGGCGACGGGCGGGAATGGCGGCGACTAGCGGCGACGGCGGCGGGCGGCGACGGGCGGCACGGGGTGGCGACGGGCGGGGATGGTGGCGACGGGCGGCGACGGCGACGGGCGGCGACGGGCTGCGCGGCTGCGATTTGGCGGCGATGGTCCCGGGGCGACGGCGGCGGCGACGGGCGGCACGGGCGGCGACGGGCGGGGATGACGGCGACGGGCGGCGACGGCGACGGGCGGCGACGGCGACAGGCGGCGACGGGCAGCACGGCGGCGATTTTGCGGTGAGGATTCTGAGATGATTGCGTTTGCGTTTGCTACGCAGGGCACCCGTGATGTGGGGAATGGCCAAACCAATCAAAATCCGCCGACCCTGTCGGCGTGTGTGAGGGGCTTTTCCGTTCGAGCCGTCATCTCCGTCATTCTTTGTACTCGTCGTCTCTGTCCTTCCCTTTCCCTGGGACTCCTCTTCCCCTGGGCTCCAGCCAAGCCGACCTTGAGCAACCTCGTAATTGAGTCGAAGGGAAGCCCCTTCCCTTTGATCCCTCCCGCCCGGGGGGGGGGGGGGGGTACCGACCCCCCCCCCGGGTCAGATACGACGCCCCCCCCTGGGACTCCTCTTCCCCTGGGCTCCAGCCAAGCCGACCTTGAGCAACCTCGTAATTGAGTCGAAGGGAAGCCCCTTCCCTTTGATCCCTCCAGCCAAGCCGACCTTGAGCAACCTCGTAATTGAGTCGAAGGGAAGCCCCTTCCCTTTGATCCCTCCCCCGCCGGGAGGGGGGGGGGGGTAGGGGGGGGGTAGCGACCCCCCCCCCGGGTCAGATACGACGCCCCCCCCTGGGACTCCTCTTCCCCTGGGCTCCAGCCAAGCCGACCTTGAGCAACCTCGTAATTGAGTCGAAGGGAAGCCCCTTCCCTTTGATCCCTCCCCCGCCGGGAGGGGGGGGGGGTACCGACCCCCCCCCCGGGTCAGATACGACGCCCCCCCCTGGGACTCCTCTTCCCCTGGGCTCCAGCCAAGCCGACCTTGAGCAACCTCGTAATTGAGTCGAAGGGAAGCCCCTTCCCTTTGATCCCTCCCCCGCCGGGAGGCGAGGGGGGGGTAGCGGGGGGCGGTAGCGACCCCCCCCCCAGGTCAGATACGACGCCCCCCCCCCGTACCGACCTTGAGCAACGTCGTAATTGAGTCGAAGGGAAGCCCCTTCCCTTTCCCTTCCCCGCCGGGGGAGGGAGAGGGGGTCCCGGGGGGGGTCCCGGGGGAGTCCCGGGGAAGTCCCGGGTCAGATACGACACCTCCCTCCCCCACCTTCTCGTCCTTCTCCCCGTTCCCCAAAACCATCCCACAGCCCGTGCCTCTTGCTGCGCATTGCGAACAGGGTCGGCGGCACCGGCCGTCAGGCCTTCGCAATCATAAGTAACTCAATTGTCATAGTACTTGTGGGCACAGCGAGAACCTGTACGAGACCATCATCATAATCAATGACACTTGTTGAGACACTTGATACAATTCAGACGTTAGCAGAGTCTCAGCTAAGATACTGATAAGAACGGTTTTGCCAAACCGACGAAAAGCAAACCGCAAACCGAAAGCTGCACCCATCAGCCCAAACCTCCTTGTCACCCGAAGGGTGGTCGTAGATGCTTTGTTGTCCGGAACGACTGGGGTGATCGTGTCGTGCATATGTTCGATGTGTCGTGAGCTTGGTGTCCAAGTATGACAATACCATAGCAGCACGGCAACACCATGGCAACGAGTAGTGAGCCGCGCGAGAGAAAGAGAGAGAGAGCGAGAGGAAGAGGAAGAGAGACATCACAAGCGTCACTCCTGAGAGCCGCATCGTGGGATAACTGGGGGGCGAGTGGTGCGCGCGCACCGTTAAAGCGTGGCCAGCTGCAGGTACTGCAGCTACGTATGCTCAGACCCAAGGCTGTTGCTGATTGCCTGAGGCATGGCTGCGCTTGCTCGGCACTGATATGGAGATGGGGCATCGTTCATCTGCTCGCGGAAGATTCGTCAGCGACGGCGTCGGCATGGACGACGTGGCGCCGAATTGGTGTTTGGCAAAGGCTACGGCCCAGAATGGCACGTGACATTGCGAAGCATTACCACCATGACCTCTAACGTATTCTGGTGTCAAGGCGATCAAGCTGGGAATATGGAGGATTGCAATTGCACCGTCACTTTGCGCTTACACTCAGGCCGCAATGGCATCCCAACGTGACAAAGCTGCACAGGGATACGCGATCGAACTGCCACACCGCCATCTCCTGCGGTCCATCACTCTTGCCCCGTGATGCCCCCCACACAGCTACGACATTGTTGCTGCACTCCCAGGACACACCTGCGTTTCATTAAAGATTGTGCGGACATTAATCACACGAGATTGTGGACAAACAAAACGCGAAGATGACGGCGCCTTGATGTGGAAAGGCTCGCCGTCTACAAGCAATTGCTGGCCCTGGACACGCACTCGCTGCCCGGCAGCCTCTGCTGCATGCCCATCTGCAAGCAAGGCCAGCGCTACGAACACCAGGCGCCTGCTGGATGTCCTTTCTCACTTGCTTGCTCACCAGACACAATCGCCGAAAGCGTGGCAACCATTCGCGCGAGAGCGAAGATAATTATCCTGGCGAAGGACCCAACCATATGCAGTTGTGGGTACCGGAATTGTGAAAATCTTATTCGGTGAAACTCCCTATGGGGCCACGAAGCGCTGCACTGGGTGGGGGGGAACGCTGTTCTGGGTGAGTGGTGTGTCAAGTAAGGTTTCCGGTACGCATGCGGACGGTCCGACTGGGGGCTTCGGTGGAGCTCCCTATGGCCACGAAACGCTGTACTGGGTAAGTGAAAATGCCAAATTGGGCTTCCGGGACGCCTGCGGACGGTCCCACTGGAGGCTTCGGTGGAACTCCCTATGGGGCCACGAAACGCTGTACTGGGTGGGTGAAAATGCCAAATTGGACTTCCGGGGCGCATGCGGACGGTCCCTCTGGGGGCTTCGGTGGAGCTCACTAAGGGGCCAAGAAACACTGCATTGGGTGGGCAAAAACGGCACGTTGGGTTTTCGGGGCGCATGCAGACGGTGGCACTGGGGCCTTCGATGGAGTTCCCTACGGGGCCACGAAATTTTGGACTGGGTGGGTGAAAATGCCACAATGGGTGTTTCGGGACGCTTGCGGACGGTCCCACTGGGGCTCCCTGTGGGGCAACGAAACGCTGCACTGGGTGGGTGAAAATGCCACATTGGGTGTGCGGGACGCATGTGGACGGTGGCACTGGGGCCTTCGGTGGAGCTCCCTGTGGGGCCACGAAACGTTGTAATGGGTGGGTGAAAATGCCACATTGGGTGTTTCAGGACGCACTCGGACGGTCCCACTGGGGCCTTCGGTGGAGCTCCCTATGTGGCCACGAAGCGTTGTACTGAGTGGGGGGGGCGCATGTGGACGGTAGCACTGTGACCTTCGGGGAAGCTCCCTGTGGGGCCACGAAACGCTCTACTGAGTGGGGGGGGCGCATGTGGACGGTAGCACTGCGGCCTTCGGTGGAGCTCCCTATGGGGCCACGAAACGCTGTACTGAGTGGGGGGGGCGCATGTGGACAGTGGCACTGGGGCCTTCGGTGGAGCTCCCTATGGGGCCACGAAACGCTGTACTGAGTGGGGGGGACGCATGCGGACGGTGGCACTGGGGTCTTCGGTGGAGCTCCCTATGGGGCCACGAAACGCTGTACTGAGTGGGGGGGACGCATGTGGACGGTGGCACTGGGGCCTTCGGTGGAGCTCCCTATGGGGCCACGAAGCGCTGTACTGAGTGGAGGGGGCGCATGTGGACGGTGGCACTGGGGCCGTCGGTGGAGCTCCCCATGGGGCTACGAAACGCTGTACTGGGTGGGTGAAACGCAGGGAAGCGGGGGAGGAAGGAGGAGGGAGGAGGGGGAGGAGGAGAGGAGGAAAGGAGAACGCGGGGACCGTCTCTTCAAAACGAGGACCCAACACCACAGGTTGGTTGGGAAAAAACATGCGGAAAACCCGCGCCCAGGAAGGACGGCAGGCTTAAGGCCCAGCAGCCCAAACGGACCCCGTCGCACTTGGTGGGGAGGGCATGCAAAGACCGATGGCGTCTGCCGCCTTCGTGTTTCCCCTGCCTGCCTTGTGGCCGTGATGGCGGCGGTCAGGCGGGGTCGCCGCGCGGCTGCATCAGGCTGCATCAAGCTGCGCGGCAGCCGGCGCGGTGTTCATGCCTTCATCCTCGCTGACAGTGCCGCCTGAGCCACGTGAGCGCGCGGCGCGAAGGTGATCCCGCACTGACCTCACGACAGAGACGCAGAGATCCAGGGGCAGGAGGCTCGCCCCTACCGTTTCACCCTCGCCGCCCATCCTCAACCCAACCCCCGCCCTCTTCCTGCCTGCATCCCCGCCCCCCCTCCTCCTCATCGCTCCAACTCTCTGGGTTCCTCTTCATTTCCTCCTCCTCCTCCCCTCCTCCTCCTCCTCCTCCTCCTCCTCCTCCTGATGGTAACCTGGTAGATAGCACAGGTTGGCGTGGGTATGCTCATGGGTTCTGCCTTCCCTCCTGGCACCCTCCTTCTGGGCCTGTGGGACCTCTTGTGGTTTGGAGGATTGGGCTGTGCCCCGCGGCACGCCCATGCTGGCTTGTGCTGCCTAATCCGCATGAGGTGCCCAGTCCAGTCTTATAGATCACTCCTCCCAGTCGCGCCTCCACACGCGTCGGCAGCGCGGGCTGTGCGCTTCGCCTGAAATCCCTTGCTGCGTGTCATCCTGAAACTTGATATTAGCGGCACCTGCATTTACTAGAGCTCTCGTCTTACCGCGCCACGCGCACTCGTCTGAAACATTGCGCAACACTTGCAGTCTAATGATGGAGAGCGGCTCCTGTTTTTTCGACATGGGATACCCACTTAGCGCCACACGCACTCGTATTGACAACTTGCAGTAAATTCTTGACCAGACCAATTTTGTTTTCCCCCACATCCTAACTGGGGTTCTTATTTTCTCTGGACACCCTCCGCGCAGAACCTCCTCACCCTCCCTCTCTCTCTCTTTCTCTCTCTTTCTCTTCCCCTCTCTGTCCGTCATCATCATCAGTCATCACCACTCATCATCATCATCCTGATCATCACTACCATCATCACCCCCGCACCGCTTTCACTCACCATCATCATCATCATCACCATCATCATCACAATCATCACCACCACCCATCGTCACTATTCATCATCCTCGTTATCGTCACCATCATCATAATCATCACAGTCATTCACACTCACACCATTATAACTTATAACCCTCCTCATCAACAACATCATCATAATTCGATCAGTCCACATCCTTACCATCCTCATCCTCATCAACACCATCATCATTCTTCCTTTTTCATCATCATCAGCATCATCATCATCATCATCACCATCACCACTCATCATCAGCAACATCATCCTCATCACCACTCGCTCACTCATCACTTCGTCATCACTCACTCCCTAGTCTGAATATGGAGGACGCCTAAAGCGGGAACTTCGTCTGTGAATGAATTGTGAGGACGTCTCAGGCGGGACCCCCTTCCATATGGGTCCCGCATTTCACGTTGGTAATCCGAGCCGGTCATCCTCAAACCTGTAACGGTCGTCACTTTTGGGCTCCTGAAGCCTGAATTTAAAAGAAATAGCAAACGGGAGCCTCGTCAGTGGGTGAATTCTGAAGAAGTCTCAGGCGGGAGCACCCTCTCCTTATGGGGGCCGCACTTCATGTTGGTAATCCGAGCGGGTCATCCAAAACGTGTAAGTGTCGTCAGTTTTGGGTTCCTGAGGCCTGAATATGGAGGAAGTATCAGGCGGAATCCACGTCTGTGAATGAATTGTGAGGAAGTCTCAAGCGGGAGCCTCTTCCCTACGGGGCCGCCGGCACTTCATGTTGGTAATCCGAGCGGGTCATCCTCAAACCTGTAGATGTCGTCACTGTTGGGCTCCTGAAGCTTGAATATGGGGGAAGTATCAGGCGGGAGCCTTGTTCGTTGGTGAATTGCAGGGAAGTCTCAGGCGGGAGCCTCCTCCCTATGGGGCCCGCACTTCATGTTGGTAATCCGAAAGGGTCATCCTCAAACCTGTAACTCTCGTCGTCGCTTTCGGGCTCCTGAGGCCAGAATATGGAAGTCTCAGGCGGGAGCCTTGTCTGTGAGTGAATTGCGAAGAAGTCTCACGCGGGAGCACCCTCTCCCTATGGGGCCGCACTTCATGTTCAAATCCGAGGCGGGTCATCCTTAAACCTGTAACTGTCGTAATTTTTGGGTTCCTGAGGCTTGAATATGGGGGAAATATCAGGCGGGAACCTTGTTTGTGAGTGACTTGCGAGGAAGTCTCAGGCGGGAGCCCCCTCCCTACGGGGCCCGCGCTTCATGTTCGAATCCGAAGCGGGTCATCGGATTCTTATAATTGTCGTCACTTTTGGGCTCTTCAGGCCTGATTGTGCAGGAGGTATCAAGCGGGAGCCTCGTCTGTGAGTGGGTGGCGAGGAAGTCTCAGGGGGGAGCCTCTCCCTATGGGTCCCGCACTTCATGTTGGTAATCCGAGCGGGTCATCCGAACGAGCTTTTTGGGCTCCTCAGCTCCTGCGGCACGAATACGGGGGAAGTGTCAGGCGGCAACTTTGTCTGTGAGCGAAGTGCGGGTAGCCTCGTCTGAGCTGATCGACCGCAAATTTGCTGTTGTCATGGGCCTGCGTGCCCGACAACATCACCACGACGACCACGACGACGACGACGACAACGACGACGACGAGGCAGCGGCCAGGCGCAAAGGTAGCCCCTGGTGTCTGGGCCATGGGTAGTAACCCATCCTCGGCCGAATCGGGGGCAGGGGTAACCCCTTGTCTCCGGGCCGCCGGTGGTAACCCATCGGCGGCCGAATCGGGCGCAGGGGTAGCCCCTTGCGTCCGGATTGGGGGTGGTAACCCATCCTCGGCCGAATCGGGGGCAGGGGTAACCCCTTGTCTCCGGGCGGGCGGTGGTAACCCATCGTCAGCCGAATCGGGGGGAACCCTTGCGTCGGGGCCCGGGGTGGTAACCCATCCTCGGCCGAATCGGGGGCACGGGGGAACCCCTTGTCTCCGGGCGGGCGGTGGCAACCCATCGTCAGCCGAATCGGGCGCAGGGGGGGACCCTTGCGTCCGGGCCAGGGGTGGTGACCCATCCTCGGCCGAATCGGGGGCAGGGGTAACCCTTTGTCTCCGGGCCGCCGGTGGTAACCCATCGGCGGCCGAATCGGGCGCAGGGGTAACCCCTTGCGTCTGGGCTGGGGGTGGTAACCCATCCTCGGCCGAATCAGGGGCCGGGGTAACCCCTTGTTTCTGGGCGGGCGGTGGTAACCCATCGTCAGCCAAATCGGGCGCATAGGGAAACCCTCGCGTCTGGGTCGCTGGTTGTAACCGATCGACGGCCTCTCACAACAAACGTGCTGTTTGTTTGTGGGTAAGGGGCCACTAACGATTTTTATTTTTCGTCGAAAATCCCCCTGTAGGGGGACCCGCCCGACATAAGGCTAGGGCGACGGGGGAAAAGTTAAGGGCAATATATAAATATTCTCATGCGGGGTCTTACCGTCGGAATAATTGTTTGTGGCAAACTAGACCAACTACCACGATTAGCCGCTACTATCGGACCGCGATCAACCGCCATCATCCGGAAATAAATAAATTCGATGGTCGCTGCGTCCCGCGATTCAGACATGCGATAAACGCTATTAGCAGCGGGATCGCGAGCGCTGCCGCTGCCCCCAAAAAATCGAGCCAGGTGAGGCCACCAGCGGGGCGCGGAGGGGATCTGTGGGCACTCGGCCGCTCCGAGATGGCATCGCCCTCCCAAAGGAGGTCCAAGGCGGCCCCGAACGGGTCGTAACTCCAGTGGGCCCACTATGCTTCCCCCCGTATCCCGCCCGCGAGACCGACACCCCCTCCCCCTCCCGACCCCTCCCCCCGAACCCTCCCGTCCGACAGCAACTGGCGCGTCCCCAGACCCGTCCTCCCCGACCACGCCACCCCACCCACCTCCCCGACCCCAGGCCACGCCCCCGCCTTGACTCCCTCCCCCGACCCCGCCCCCTGACCCTGCCCCTCCTTTTCCGCCCACCCCCTCAGCGCGTCTTGCGTTAAAAGATGAGCTGCGATAAGGATATCCAGGGGATAATGCAAATCGCGGCAATCGGGCCAGCGTGAAGAAATCCCACCAGCCCTCTGGGCGCAGGTGGTCTAGGGCGTTTCCCTTTTACAACCTCCTGCCTTTCCCTGCTCGGGAGGTTTACCCCCCCTCCCTGCGTTTGGACGGGGGGAGGGCGGACCCATAGCAGCGTCCAAGATGGCCCAAGGTGGTTCCAAGAGGGCCTCCGAGAGCGCAAGATGGCCTTCAAGATGGCCCAAGATAGCGGTAGACGCGTCCAAAGATGCCTCAAGACGGCCCCAAGACGGCTTCGACTGCCCTCCGAAGCATCCAAGGACCCCCCCAAGAAACCAAAATCATTCAAAAACCATAAGAACATACATGTTTCCTAAGGGCTCTTGCGGCCTCAAGATGGCCCAATACAGCCCCAAGAGGGGCCCAAGAGAGCCCCAAGACGGCCCCAAGAGCGCCCAACAAGAACGCTCCAAGAGCGGGCCAACAGGGTCCCAAGACGGCATGTTTGAGCCTCCGAAGGGGGGGTGCAAGAATTGCCCACCCCCCCCTCTTTTTTATCAACGCGGCCTAAAACGGCCCCAAGAGGCCCCCCAGATCACTCCCAAGAGCCCCAAAAAGGCCCCCATACCCCCCAAAAGAGCTCAAGAGGGCCCCAAGACGCCCCAAAAGAGCCCCAAGAAGCCCCAATAAGGCCCTAAGAGGACCTCAAGAGAGCCCCACGAAAGAGCCCCAGGAGGCCCCAAGAGGGGCCCAAGAGAATCCCAAGAGGGCCCCAAGATGCCTCCAAGTTTCGGAACGCACGCGAGTTTGATATACAAATCAGTGCAAGAGCCATTGCGAGTCATCGAAATACCCCTCACCTCTCATCGAAGCACCGTCGTAACTTGCACTGGTGTCCATGTTAAACTTCAATGCGGGAAGCCATGTGCGACGCTTGTGTTCTCGAAGACGGCTGCGCGACTGCATGCGTTCTGCCGCCCCTGATTCACCAACTCCCCTGCTGATCGTTTCTGGATGGGCAGGTGGGGATATGTTTTTTTTGTTCGGCGGTTCGAAGGAGAGGTCCAGCGAGCGGGGCTAACGTTCTGGGGCACAGAGCGAGAAAATTGGCTGCAGTGGCACGTAGGCCGCTGGAGCGTGTGCAAAAGACGATGCCAGAATATTACCCAGCAAAAACACTGAACGGACGCCAGCGGGTGAGAAGCTGCCGCAGGTGGACAACCAGCGAACACAAGCAAGACCCGCAGGTGGGGAACCAGACCGGTGGCCGAAAGAGAGAAAGCGGAGCGCGAGGTGGCGCGCGCGAAGCAGCCTGAGACGAGGCGCGAGCAAGGACCACTGGGCAGATGCCAGTGAGCCAGGGCAACAGAAGGTACCGCACTCGCAAACAGGCGAAAACGAGCACAGAGCCTGCACCCAAGCAGCCACGGAGCGCAGAAGGCCTAGAGCGGCGGACTCACACACGTAGCGCCCAGTGCATCTCCACCACAAGAGAGAGACGATCACTCCCGACACCGGCGATGGCGGTTAGGCCACTGGCACACAGCAAGACTGCGAAGGTGGAGCGAAGAGGGGCCTTCAGCCAGTTGCCTCAGCACCACGGCCCGGACTCACACGGGCAAAGGCCTGGGTGGGGTTATTCCAGGCGGCCGCAGGCAAGGAACCCACGGGATGCCGCGGGTGCCAAAGTGCAGTGAAGTGCCCCTCGAACCCGGGAGGAGACACAATCCGTGGCCAGAGCCATCCACTGCATGCCGGGGCCGATGGGGCGACGCCTTCAGCGAGTCGACCCGGACCTCCGCGGGCCGTCAACGCGGCCAAAACCGTGGATGGGGTTATCTCAGCCGACCGCACGGGCTACAACCCACGAGGCTGTGGGAGTCGAACACAGAGATGAACACCCCCAACGGCGTCGATGGGGGGGAAGCCAGTCGCACACAGCTGGACTTCAAGTGGTGGAGCGCGAGGGGGGGCCGGACCAGCGTCCTCTGCACCACGGCCCGCACTCGGCGCGGGCAAAGGTCCTGGGTGGAAGCAGGACAGATGGGGAAACGCCTTCAGCGAGACGACCAGGTCCTCCTCGGGCCGGTATCCCGACCAAAACCGTGGGCGGGGTTATTTCAGCCGACCTCACGGGCTACAAGCCCACGGGGGCCGTGGGTGTCTAGCGCAGTGTGGGGGGTGTACCTCACTCCCAGGAGGTAACACGGAAACCGAAGCCGCGGCCTGCCACTGCGGTGAAACGAACCCCCTCACTGGGTGGGCCGTGAGGAACGTGACCGCCCAGTGGGAAACCTTCGGCACTGGGGCACGCCCCGACCGACACTGCCTGCGTGAGGCGGGACCCACGATAGCCGCGCCTCTCGGGTACTGTGCACTGGCAACGAGGAAAAAGGGGGTAGCAGCCAATAGCCGCGGACGTGTGTAGCTGTGGCGCACTGGCGACGAGGAAAAGGGGAGTAGCAGCTGATAGCCGGGGTCTTGTGTAGCTGTGGCGACGAGGAAAAGGGAGGAAGCGGCCGATAGCCGCAGGACAAGAAAGTACCAGGGGGGAGAGGAGGAGGGTAGCCGATAGCCGCAGGACGTATGACAGTGGTGGGGACGCCCAAAGAGGAGGACGCGCCACACCTCAAGGGGGGTATCCGCAGTGGACTGGAGTGGCCAGCCCTCATGACGGGGGGCGCCCCTTGTCCATACAGCCCTAGGCCGTGCGCCTTGGAGGGGAAGGTGTGAAGGACGAGGGCCCGAACAAATCATTGTATGCTACAACACACAGGATTCACGCCTGCGGCTGGTTCCCAGGCGTTCTTGTTAAGAGGCGGTCTTGGGGGGGGGGCAGGCGTTATTGTTCAGAGGCGGTCTTGGGGGGGTTAACACACGTGATCCCCCGAGCCGATAAAAGAAACATATCGTTGCAGTGCATTGCATTGCGATGGCCCCGACGGGGGGGAGGAGAAAAGTGCTCCCCTCTTCTTTGAAGCCAAAATCATTGATTTGACTACGGTTTTGGCCCCATTTTGGCCTTCTGAGGGGGCAGCGCTAATTAAAACGCCCCTCTTCTTTCAAGCCAAAACCATTGATTTTACTAAGGTGTTGGCCCCATTTTGGCCTTCTGAGGGGGCAGCGCTAATTAAAGCTCCCCTCTTCTTTGATCCATTTCCTCCAAGATGGCCCCAAGAAGCGCCCAGGGGGCACCAAGAGGCCCCAAGATGGCCCCAAGAGGCCCCCAGGAGGCCCCCAAGAGGATCCCAAACGGCCCAAAGAGGCCCCCCCGAGGCACCCAAGACGCCGAAAAGCCCATCAGGACGACCCTCTACTCGCCTGGGCGTCGTTTCTGGACGGGCAGGAGGAGGGGCCCGAACGACTCACACCAGGACGAGGGGCCCGAACAACTCACACCACGAGAAGCCCGAACGACTCACACCAGGACGAAGAGCCCGAACGACTCACACCACGAAGAGCCCGAACGACTCACACCAGGAAGAAGGGCCCGAACGACTCACACCAGGACGAGAAACCCCAAACGACTCAAACCACGAGGAGCGCTTTCTCTCCCTCCTCCTCCGCCTCGTCCTTCTCCCGCTCCCACCACAAGGAGGATGTACAAGGAGGCGGGAGGAAGGAGGAACAGGGGAGATATGCGGGGGCAGGCGGAAACACGCCTGAAAAACACGACTGTCGGCATGCTTCGCTAGAGTTGCTGTTTTGAGATGGGCTGGTGGGGATACGCGAAGCGTGAAGAATTATGGTATTGCACGACTTTGATATTACCCGTAACATATCTGCCCGTCGTGCCTGTAGTATCCCTAGGCGCCACTATCTAGGACAGAGGACACTCCAAGTGAGGTCACAACGCGACCAATCCTTTTAATGCATCATCTAATGAAATTTCGTTTACCCCCGCCTAGCGAGCGTCCTGAGAAAACCGCGCCCTCTGAATTTGCTTTACGGTGCCCTGTTCGGTGTCCAGACGGCTCCAAATCACTAACCAATCATGCAAAGCGGTTGCGGAAAGCCGCAAGACCACCCCGATACTTCCAAAAGAGCCCACGATTATTCCAAGATGCCTACAAGATGCCCCAGTAGGCCCCAAGAAGGTCCCAAGAGACGTTCGAAGGGGCCTTCAGCGAGACCCTAGGAAGCGAAACACATTGAACAATCGCAGGGGGGAAGGGCGGAGGCGGAGGCGAAGCAGAAGGAACAATGATAATCGGAGAGAGAATGGCGCTTTTGAGGCGGGTCTCGGCACTGCGAGCGGCGCTCCAGGCTGGGACAGGAACCGCAAGCCACGGAAGGGGGGGGGACTCGCCAAAGGAGCAGCGCGCCGGGCGCGGAGCCACGCCTTGAGGGCTGACTCGGCTCGAGCCGTGCTGCATCCAGCCAGGGAGGCTGGCACCAGGCCAAGGGGAGAGCGGCATGCCGCAGCGGCGCGGTCGGCCGCGCACCGAGCTGCGGGTGAGACACGCAGCGCTACGAGGACTGCCCGACTGCAACCCCTCTGTCTGCCAGATCTCGCGCCTGTGCGCACGGAATGAGCCACTTCAGATCCGTCAGCATGAACTTAAGGGCCTTCGTCCACTTCTCGTCCTGATTGAACTGCTGGCGGACGGAGAATCCCCCTACCTCTGGGGAGTCAGACATTTCGACTGTCCTACCCACCGCGTCCACCAGCCAGGAGAATGGGGAAAAGCACGCGAAGGAGTGAGAGGGGATGCCGCACGGGAGCGGGATGAGACAAGTGGAAGGCACAGGGAGCAGATGTGAGGTAGGTGAAGGGGGGGAGAGGAAGATGGGGAAGGTGTATACGACTGCCACGGGTGCTGCGGCGCCCCCCCAGGCCTCAGGGAGACGGAGGAGCAACAGGCGGGCCATACTCTCTCTCTCTCTCTCTGTCTATCTCTCTCTCTCACTCTCTCTGTTCATATACATACATGTGTATATGTGTATATGTGTATAGATATAGAGATTATGATCCCTCCCTCTCTACACATATATGTATATACATAGATATACATATATATATGTGGGTACAAGTAACGCACACACACACACACACACACACCTTGTCGCCATCGATCTTGTAGGGCAGCTGGTCTATCTTGTGGGGCGCCAGGGTCTTCGCCACCTGGTGCAAGCACTTCAGGAAGGCGGCCATGGCCTGGTCAAACCTGGGTCGACGCCGTCGTCGCATTTCGTACTGAGAAAATCGCGAAGCGTGATTAACCCCGCGCTCTGGAATCCACCGATGGGGCACCATGCATTTGTTTCCAAACAATCATGTGGTGTTGGGTCCTCGTTCTGGAGAGACAGCGCCCCGCGTTGTTTCTGTCCTCCTTCCCCTCCTCCCTCCTCCTGTCCTTGGCTTTGCCCTTCGCATGCCCTTGTTTCAGCCCTTGTTTCAGCACGCCCCTCACACGCTTCATGGCCCCATAGAAAGCTTCGGCGACGGGCCCAAAGACCATGCTCGAATGTGGCCGCCCACCCATTTCGGCACACCCCTCACACGCTTCATTGCCTCATACGGAACTCCACCTAAGGCCCGACTGGCCATGTATGCATGTGACCGCCCCATCTATTTCGGCACACCCCTCGCGCGCTTCGTGGCCCCATGGGGAGCTCCACCTAACGCCCCAATGGCTATGTTCGCATGTGGCTGCCCCACTCATGTCGGCACACTCCTCGCACGTCATGCTCGTATATGGCCGTTACACCTATTTCGGCAAAACCCTCACTCGCTTCGTGGCCCCATAGGGCGCTCCACCGAAGGCCCCCGTGGCCATGTTCACATGTGGCCGCCCCACAAATTTCGACACACCCCTCACACGCTCCACGGCCCCATCGGGAGCCCCACCTAAGGTCCCTGTGGCCATGTCCGCATGTGGCCGCCAACCCGTTTCGGCACACCCCTCAAACGATTCATGGTCCCGTAAGGAGCTCCACTTAAAGCCCCAATGGCTGCGTTCGCATGTGGGCGTCGAGTCCGTTTCGGCACACCCCTCAAACGCTTCGTGACCCCGTGAGGGATCCACCTCAGGCCCCAGTGGCCATGCTCGCATGTGGGCGTCGCGCTCGTTTCGGCAAATTCACACACAGACACACCTCACAGGTTTTGTGGCCGCATAGGGAGCTCCACCTGAGACCCCAGTGGCGACGTTGGCGTTGCGGTCCCGCCCCATTTCGGCACACCCTTAGCATGCTCCGTGGCCTCAAAAGGAGATCCACCGAAAGCGATACTCACAACGACGGCACTCACAACTACACCCTGCGAAATGCTTAAGAAATCATGGGTTAAGAAGTTCACAGTCTCAGAACTTGAATAAAAAACCCAACATGTCTATGAAAATCTGAAGATTTACACTGAAACGTTCAGAATAATCGAGACTCTGGCCGAAAACTTAGGTTTTCTTAAGCATCGCCTAGGGTGTACATCTGCTTGGGTCCTTCGCAAAGATGATTTTTGTTGGTCCGCGGCGACTGGGGTCCGAGAGGCGGTCGGGGCAGCCGAGTGCCGCTTCGGGGCCAGATCAGGCACAACAGGAGCAAACCAGCACGGAGGGAGGAGGAGGAGGAGGAGGAGGAGGAGGAGGAGGAGGAGGAGGAGGAGGAGGAGGGCTCCATGAAGACACTGGAGGCCCTGAATGGGCTCCGTGGAGGCTCCTGGATGCCACCTGAAAGCAGATGCAAGTCTGGGAGGCCATGAAAACTCCACCCCTCATAGACACCAGGAAATGCGTCGCAACCGACCTAGAGGAATAATGATAAAGACTCCGTGGAGGTCTCCGCAGGAAATGGGGAGCCACCTGAACGCTCGCGAACGCCCGTCTGTCCTCTCGAGCTAGACCCCTGGATCTCCCCGAACCCAACTCCCTCTCGTGCTCGGCGCATCTTCCGCGAAAAGGGGTGGGCGGTGTTGCGCTGAGAAATGCTTGAGACTGCCCTGGTCGAACCGCCGGTCGAGGAAGAAGCTTGTGAGCCCGCCGTCACCGCTGTACAAGCCCAGAACGTCCCCGCCGGCCTGTATGGAGCTGTAGCTGCCGTTGGGCTTTAACCTGCACGAAGAGTCATCCTCCTCCTCGTCCTCCTCCCCTCCTCACCGTCTCCTCAAGACAAAACGGGGTCCACAATCTCAAACTCCCACCCGTCCCGGGATCCTCTCCCCACGCAAGGGCGATGGCTGCGGTCACAGGCCAGACCCTGGACCTGTACTGCTGAAGACAGGTACCAGACATCTTGACAAGCGCGTCGAGCAGCAGACAGGCCTGACCCCAAGCGGCGTTGATCTCCTCCCACTGCACGGGGTGGTCCGGCAGCCGGCCCAGGCGGAAGCGGCTGATGGTCCCGAACTGCCCCTCGTCCTTGATGAAGAACATGTCGTTCAGCACGTTCGTGCGCTTCAGTCTGTGCAGCTCGCTGGTGGCGTACTGGATGGCGCTCTGCGTGACGGCCCGCTCCTCCTCGCCCTCTTCGGCGTCGAGCTCGTACTCGGCGGCGCTCAGCCAGAACTCCTCCTCCCCCCGCTGCAGCTGCTCCTCCTGCCGCCGCTGCCGCTCCAGCTCCTCCCGCAGCTGCGCCTCCTCCCGGCAGTGACCCGCGAGCTCGGCGGTGAGGCGCTCCTCTTCCGCCTCGAGCTCGGCAATGTCGGCCTCGAGCTGGGCCGCCTCCTCCGCGGAGAAGGCCTCCAGCTCCTCCCGCAGCCTGCCGTGCGCCTCCTGGTAGGCGCGGTGCTCGTCCGCGGCCTGGTCCACCTGCCGCTGTACCTCGGCCACCGTGAGGCGCAGGCAGTCGGCGCAGACGGGATGGTCCTGCCCGGGCGCCGAACGCGACCCGCCCAGGCACCTCCAGTGCCCCCCGCCCCCAGGCCACAGCGAGAGAAGGATGCACGAAAGCGGCCCGAGTATGGCAGATCCTTCCAGGGGACAGCGGCATCGAATCTCGCGATGAAGTACGGGAGGAACAGGAGCGAGGAACGAAAAGGACCGAGAAACAAGCGAGGAACGAGTCGAGCAGGAGGAGAGGAGGAAGAGCCACCGGAAGAGGGAGGGAGAGGGATGGACTGTGATTTGGACTGCCAGCAGGTCCACCCCGCTGCGAGCGCCAACCACCCCGAAAGGCCCACGAACCAGCGCAGCGGCGTGGCGGATGGCATCCAGAAGGGGGGTGGCGGAGGGCAGCCCCTTGGGGCCCACCGCATCGCACGCGCGACGCTTGCAGCGGCAAGCAGCGAGCAGCGCATGCTCTCCCAGTAGGGCCACCTGCGGGTAGCTCCGAGCATGGCTGGTGGCCCTCGACGGAGCCATCCATTTCCAAGCGGCCCCAGCATCGCCTCCAAAGGGAGCACATGGTAGGGCCTCCCACAAGGAGCTCCCACTGGAGATCCGGGAGCATCTGGCCTCCCACAATTAGCTCCAGGTAGAGCCAGAGGCTTCCAGCGGAGCTTCCTCGAGGGGCTCGAGGGCGACCTCCAGCAGCAGCACCCAGCAGAGCCCAGATCGAGCCCGAGAGCGGGCGCCTCCGTCCACTCGGACGGCACAACGCTGAGCATTCGACCATCCTGCAAGAAGGCACGACGGCGCGGCCTCGCGCGAGTCCAAAAAGCCTAGAGCCTGCCTGTCCACCCAGGTGACTGGCCCCTGGCTGGTCGTGAGTGCTGGCCGGATGACCGTCAGGAGCTGCCCTTGCAAGGCAACGCCCATACCCACCCAGCGTCGCAAGACATGTGGAGTCACCACGGGCGGATGACTGCAACAGCAAGGTGGGCAAGAGATGGGCCTGGCAGGTGACATACTCGGCGGGACCTGAACGTTCGCATTCGCCGTCGTCCCTGCAGGGAGGAGGGAGAAAGGAGGGGAGTGAGGAGGGATGCCTTGAGGGTGAGGATGAGGAGCTAGAAGGGGGATCAGAAGCTGGGGGGAGGGGGAATAGGAGGAGAAAAAAATGAGGCGGAACGATGGAGACGGAGGCGGAGAAGGATGATATGGAAGGAGGGCGGAAAAGGGAGGAGGGAGTACAGGTCCTGGTCTGTCTGCCCAGAGGCCAGGGACATGATGCGCTCGATGCGAGTCACCTTTGGACGACAGAAACAGGCCCAGAGGCAGCTGAGGGCTTAAATCATGTCCAGGGCAGCGAGGAGTCCCCTCGTGGAGAAAGCGAAGGAAGATGGAGAGGGCGGGAGGACAAGGAGTGGAGAGGGGAGACGTGGGGAGAGGAGAGGGAGAACAGAAGGAAGGCCGAGGGGTTGGGGAATTGAAAGGGGAGAGGGGGAACCTGGCCATCAGGTAACATCGGGGCGGCACTGGACTCATCCTGGGGGCTTCCCTGGACCCCCCCTGATCAGGACGAGCCTTCTCCAGGCTGGCCACGGACAGCGGCGCGCCATCCGTCCGTGCCTGCATGGCGCTCGCCCTCCTGCTACCTTTCCTGAAACAATTCTCCACTGCGCCTTGCTGTGCTCCGTCTTGCCCCGTCTCGCCCTCCTCTGCGTCCGTGCCCACTTGCTTGCCTGCTTTCTTCACGGCGCTCTTTCGTGCAGCTGCACGCTGCCTACCCGTCTGCCGATTGAGTCTGCGTGCCTGTCTACCTTTTCCTGTCTGCGTTCGCTTCCTCAATCGATGTCGCTATTGCACCTCCGCCCGTCCGACAGTCAGCCCCTCCATGTCGAACGGGCGCGCGTATTCGGCTGGTGTCTTACTGCTCGCTTTCGCCATCGCCGTCGGTGCCGAAGGCAGAAAGTCCACCCCATAATAATCACCCCGACAAGCGAATCCCTTTAATAAGCGCACACAAAAAAGGTGAATCGAACAAGGTACGGCTGTTTAGTCAACGCCCAAGGCCGTTTAGTAGACGTCAATTGTCGGGTCCGGGTGGTTGTTCCTCCCTTGAGGGTGGGTCGCGGGGTGGGTCGCGGGGTGGGTCGCGGGCGGGTCGCTGGGTGGGTCGCGGGTGGGTCGCGGGTGGGTCGCGGATGGGTCGCGGATGGGTCGCAGGGTGGGTCGCGGGGTGGGTCGCGGGTGGGTCGCGGGTGGGTCGCGGGCGTGTCGCGGGGTGGGTCGCGGGTGGGTCGCGGGTGGGTCGCGGGTGTGGCGACGGCAACAAACAACAAACAACAAGCAACAAAAACAACACCAACAACAAACAAACAAACAAACAACCAACCAAACAAACAAACAAACAACCAAACAACCAAACAAACAAACAAACAAACAACAATCACAACAACGACGACGACGACGACAACGACAACGACAACGACAACGACAACGACAACGACAACTACAACAAAAACACCAACACCAACACCAACACCAACAACAAAAACAACAACAATCATTTTAAGACCGTTCGCTCTTATATGCTCGAGTGTCCAATAACGCGTATTTCCCAAACCCTCGGTACACCCGCCCTCTTCGTCTTCGATCGAGCCAAATTTGGGGGGTATACCTTTCTTCCCTGCAGGCCGGGCCCCGGCAAGCGGCGGGGGCGGCCGCGGACCGTCGGCCTGGTCAGCGGCAGCGCTGATCGGCGGGGCGGCCGCGGACCGTCGACCCGACCCCAAGAGGGATGGACAGGGGACCGACCACGACTTCGGCGACGGCGACGACGACGACGTCGAAGACGACGGCGACGACGACGACGACGGCGACGACGAGCGAAAGCGAGAGCGAGAGAGAACGACAGCAGGGCCACGAAGGGCACGAAGTAGGCCACGAAGGGCGACAGCGGGGACACGAAGGGAATGCGTATGGGGCCACGAAGAGCGGGGGCCACGAAGTGCAGATAATGCGGGGCCACAGAAGGCAACTATGGGACCAATGAGGGTAGCAACTGGGCCACGTAGGACAGTGAGGGGGCCACAAACGGCGACAGCGGGGCCACGAAGGGTACGCACATGGGGCCACAACGGGCGCGACTCCTGGGTGCCTAGGTGTCGGGAGCGTGGCGCTTAGGCAAATTGCAGGAAATTCCAACGCAAGGCCACTCTCCAGTAAGTTGCAAGCCAGTCTCCAGCGAGAGCGCGACTCCAGAGCGCCGGGAGAGCGATTCCTGAATATATTGTAAGGAATTCCCAAGCGAGAGCGCGATTCCTGAATAAAATGCGAGGAAGTCTCGGGCGGGAGCGGGGGTCCTGGCTAAATTGTAAGGAAGTCTCAAGCGGGAGCCGTTGTTGTTGTAACCCGGGGGCCAGGGGCCCAGTTTGAGCAGGAAGACTTTCCCAGTCAAAAAACAGGGCGCGAGCGTCGAGGGGCACACTGCGATTCAGAAAAAACAGTATGCACCGATGGGGGGATCAACAATATTTATTCTTCAGAAATGAGAATTCAACAACAACAGCAGCAGCAGCAACAACAACAGCAAACATAACAACAACAACAAAACACCAACAAAAAAACAACAACACCAACACCAACAGCAACAATAACAATACCATCAACAATAGCAACAACACCAACAGCAACAACAAACAACAACCACCAACCACCAAACACCAAACACCAAACAACAAACAACCAACAACCAACAACCAACAACAACACCAACAACAACAATCAATTTAATACTGTTCGCTCTTATCTGCTCGCATGTCACTCAATATGCATATCCCAAGCCCTGGATACCCGCCCTCTTCGTCTTCGATCGTACCCCCTTTGAGGGGGGTATATTCATTCCCTGCCACGAAGGGCAGCAACGGGGCCACGAAGGGCAGCGAGCGAAGGCGACCGCGGAACCAGTACGGGCAGCGAGGGGCATCGAAGGCGGGCGAAGGGCAGCGAGCGGCGACTGCAGTCCCTAACGGGCTGGTCGGGCGGGCAGGCCCAGACGGGCGGGTCGAGCGGGCGGGTCGTTGAAGCGTAAATTCTGCTTGAACCGCCAAGCAATATGTAGCGGGAGCGCGATTCCTGAGTGTAGAGGAGCGGCATCTGAATAAATTGTCAGGAAGTATCAGACAGGAGCCGCGATTCGGTGGTAAGGAAGTCCCAAGCGAGAGCGCGATTCTTTAATAAATTGAGGAAGCATCAAGCGGGAGCCGCGATCCGGTGGTAAATTGTAAGGAAGTCCCCAGCGAGAGCGCGATTCTTCAATAAATTGAGGAAGTATCAGGCGGGAGCCGTTGTTGTTGTAAACCGGGGGCCAACGACACAGTTTGACCCTCAAGACTTTCCCTGGTAAAAAACAGGGTGCGAACCCCGGGAAGGGCACTTCAATCGAAAAAAACAATGTGCACCGGACGGGGGGGATCAA